AAAGAGAGAGGGGGGGGGAGATAGATAGAGAGAGAGAGAGTGAGAAAGAAGGGGGGGGGATATAGGGTGGATAAAGAGAAGGGGATTCAGACAGACAGAAAAAAAGAAGAAAGGAAATAGATAAGAATGGGTGTATGGAAGAACGAAATAGAAAGAATGTCTAATCTCTAGTAAGAAGATTAGCGTGTGAAGAGTTTCGTCACAGCTACTCACTTTGTATCATCCTGCTTCTACGTAACGAAACGGACAAAAGAAATGCGTATGTGACTTTATGCAGTAGACATAACCGAGACCAGAAGGAAATTATGGCGCAGAAGGAAATGGCGCAGACTGAAGATATTATTCGTGATGAGGACAGAACTATAAACTACAGCTTCTTGGCGCTGGTTTCTCGGAGAGCTGCCAACATGAGCAGGTCTACGCCCGCGTCCTGTGGTGTGGCGGTTAGATGCTTCCCCGTAATACGCAAAAACCTGAGTTCGATTCCAGAATGGAGAATTTTAATCGAGTATCTAGATCTTTCTACCGGGATGCTGTAACCCTCTCAGCCTGGGCAGGTTTCGCCCTGGCGGGCTGGGTCGAAGCCTCCCTCCTACTAAAAAAGAAAGAAAAGAAATAAGGCTTGAGGAACTTTGACTTTGATGATAGACCAAGAGGTGGTGTGGGGGTTTTTCGGGGGTTAAAGATGGTTTTGTCTATTTTAAAGTAGGTTTTATCAGTTTTATTTACTTATTCCTGTGTCTCACATCTAAACAGCGAAACGAAAATATTGTGAACGCATACCATAGACACTACGGTTGTAATAGTAACAGCAACCAACCAACTAATGTGGGTGGTTGGCGGGTACTCTGGTGTAGTTCGCTCCTTCTTTTCTGTCAAACATATATTGTCTGGATCTCTTCTCCCTCTTTTTTATATACAACTCTAATCTTCGGCACTTATATGACCTTATTGTGTTGCAAGTGCCGTAAAACTCTCACGAAACTAAACCAACCAACCAACCAACCAACCAGCCTACCAACCGATTAAACAAACAAACAAACAAACCGACGAATTCCTGAGGGGAGACAAAGCTATAAAACCGTGGCGCAATAACAAACAGCACGTGTGTTCTTGAAGATTTGCCAACAGGCGATCTATGGGGACCTCCGTACGGGGCCACTGTAAAAACAGGTTACGACAGGTCGCCGCATTATGACAAACTGCTTCCCCCGCTCATCTCGACGGTTCTGGTATTTTACAGGGTTGGGAGGAAAGGGAGGATGGCGGTTTGTTTGTTTGTTTGTTTTTATTTTTTACTTCTTTTTTTTTTTTTTGGTTTTTGTTGGAGCATATCAAGGAAATTAAGATCAGAAGGGAGGAAAGTATAGTAATTGGGCAATCTACCTCCTTATTTCTAGCGCCCAGGCAAAGCTACATCATTCCCACTGCTTTCAGATCGTCTGTCAAGACGCGAAAGGTCATCATTGTTTGTTTGTTTGTTGTTTTTCCTTCCGAAGGGATGTATTTATGTTTACTTTCTTTGGTCGTAGTATTCTGCCTCCCAACCGATCCAAACTTCATCGATTTTTAAAAAGTTTTTTTTATTTATGTATTTATTTGTCTATATTTATTTGTTTGTCTGTTACTTAGTTTTTGTAGGTTATTTATTTTTTTATTTATATATTTATTTGTAATTTTATTTGTTTTATTTATTTATTGTTTTTCTTCTGTACAGAACTACTCCAAGACAAAGCCATCGACAACGGGGTGCTGGATCTACTCAACGACACCATCAGCCGCCATCTTGATGACGAGGACCTCACAAATATGGCGCTTCTAACGGTGGGCAGCATCACGGAAGCTGGTGAGTTCTTTTTTTTCATATTTCGTTTGATGATACATGTCTGCAGATCAAATTCCCCATTTCCTGGTGAGTCATATTTTGGAGTGAACCCGTTTCCAGTTACAGTATAGGCAGTTGAAACCGAGTCACGATTTAATGATGTTGTGGGAAGAAATATTGGAGGCACCTTTGAACCTAATGTTACTTGTGGCGAATTCAGAATTACTGTGTTTCAATTAATGGTAATCCAAATTTGGTTGAGTCTTGTAATATTACTCATTCACGCACATACACAACGAATTTTCACTAAAAAAAACACTTGCACGCGCGTGTGTGTGCATACGCACATGCGTGCGTGTGCACGCACATGCGTGGGTGTGCACACTCACATGCACGCGCACGCATACAAACACACATGCACATGCACACATACACGTTCATTAACTCTCCGACCCCGACACCCATAAACACACATAATAGAATATGATATATACACATTTCCTCTATACATTTGAGTGCGTCATATACATTTGAGTGCGTCAGCATAACAGCATTCTCTTATAGTTTTCTCAGAGTGTGAGTACGTCAAAATTACATCATTGTCTCATGATTTCCCCAGATTGTAGCAACGGTGAATGTGTCATCATAACATTATTATCTGATGATTCCCCTCAGATTCTGTGAGCTTGATTTCGCCAAAATAACATCATTATCATAATATTCCCCCAGATTCTGGCAAGGCGGCAGCGAGTCGGTCGGGCCTTCTGGACACGCTGAAGATGCTTCTGGACAGAGAGAGTTCTGTAGATCTTACAGAAATGATCCTGGAACTTCTCACTGGCATCATGGAGTCAGGTAAGTGTGAACTTCAGATGGGGTCATTTCTGGTTCACTAATTACCTGTATTACCTGTCCTGGGCAACAACGTCATTGCACACCGGACAGGTCCATAAGTGCTCAGTTCCCTCCAGCACCAAAGCCCGCCAGGTATCCATACTGATTGTTCCGGTGGCTGGCTGATTATGGTGACGTCTTTCCTTTCCAGATAATCGTTCCTTTCTTCCTTCTCCCCTCTCTATCCCAATTTCCCGCATCCTAATGATTGCGTGGTGTTCTGCTGTCTCCCTGTCTTCTTCATCCCGCAACTTTTTCTCCAGGGTCTTCAACACTTCCCCTTTGTCAAATTTCACCTCACCATCAACCACGGCACCTCCAGCCAGCCTATCAGCCTCCTCATTGCCTTTCACTCCAGAGTGCCCAGATTAGTGGTTTACTAATTTGCTGTGGAAATGGATGTACAGAAAAGTGGGAAGACATGGAGTGACATCAAGCGTCTAGCCCAGGATATGGAAAGGTGGAAAGTGTTTGTTGGTGACCTATATCCTGACCCAGGGTGAGAAAGGCAAAGATGATGATGAATTTGCTGTGAAGCATTTACACCACGATTGACACAGTTCAAGTCATTTAGGAAGTTGGCTGCTCTGTCCCTGTCTATACAAGGACATCCTGTTGAATACTGAAAACTAAAAAAAAGGAAATTGTTCAGGGGGAGTCTTATACATGGCACACACACACACATCCTAATGTTTTTTTTGTCATTTCATTTTATCTTTGGATGTGAAAAGGGTTATCTGAGTATTTTAGAATCATACCACCCTTTTCTGTCTTGCCTAGATTTTGATTCGCCACACTATATTTTGTTGATGGGAGCATTAAACATTTACAGCCAATTTTAATAATTAAAATTTTTTATGAAATTTGATAAATAATAATAATAATAATAGTAATAATAATAGTGGTATTTTATTGCGGATATCCATGCTGTACAACAGGCTCTTTGCACTTAATGACTAGAACTGTTAACCTCTTTTATCTCTCCTGCTGTCAGAGCCGGCCAAAGAGATGGCAGCAGAGAACGGACTGTGCAAGTCTCTGGTCAGCCTCATCCAGTCTGAGTCTCTCAGCCCCGAGGTGGTCAAGATGGCCTCGGACGTCTTCATCTCTGTGCTGGTTGGAGGTAGCCGAGGAAGCTGTGAATTATTGTCTGTTTTATTTTTTGTTGTGTAAATGATTTCTTGCGGTTTGCGTGTGTTTGTGTTTGTGCTTGTTTAGATAATATGTGTTTGTGTTGGTCTAGAAAGTTGTGATTTATTGTCTGCTAGTGATATATACATGTGTATTCTGTGTTGTACAAATGGTTTTTTGGGGGAGTTTGTGCTTGTGTATGGGTGTGTTTGCTTGACAGAGAGAAACGAACCCAGAGAAGAAACAGGCTGACTAACTTTATGAAATGTTGAGGCTTCACCTCCTAAATTATTTACATTGTGACAATGGGGCCGTAAAAAGTCTACATTAAAAAAGAGAGAGAAAAAAACCCAACTCATCTTGGCTCTAATGGAGATGCGGGTTTTTCCTCTTTCCGTCTCCAACCATTTTTCTTTCTGTGACAAAGCCATTTTGAAGGATTTATTTTTGTAGAATCTGACTGTAATCTGAAAAGGAAAAAAAAAAACAAAAAAAAACATGATCGCATTTTCAGAGAAACTCAAATGTGTTTCGCTTCAGAATGCAGGAAAATAAATTTCCTATCAGACAGAACACAGAAAAGTAAATCTTAACATAAAATAGTGGTTTGATTGAATATAGATACGATGAACTGGAAGAATGGAAAAGACTTGGAACTCATCAAGCCGTGAAATACAGCTCAGGGCCATAAGGCACAAGTCAAGTGAGCCGCAAAATGCAATTCCCAATAAGGAAGGAGTTGAATGTCCATACACTGTTCAAAAGGGGAGAAAAAACACAATCATACTCTTCCAAAGTTTCATGGTGGTGCGTCATGTTGAACAGAAGCATCATGAGTTTTTTTTATCTTGTCTGGGATTTTGAATGGCTGAGAGGAACCAATTTTTAAGCTATTCCGTCAATTTTGTTTGGCAAAGGCGTCTTGTAGAGAGAATCTTAAGAGTTGTTTTCCAATTTTATTCCACTTTACAATCGTAATTGTACCATTTCTCTTCTAGTTTTGACTTTTATCTCTTTAGGGAAAATAAGTCCCTATTACAAGCTCAACCACATGAAAAGATTCTGTTAGGTGAATTGATGGGGGGGGGGGGGGGGGTCCTCACTCTCTTTTTTTCTGCATTTTCTTCTTTTTTGGGGTTGTTGGTTTTTTTGTAAACAAGATATAATAACAAAAAAGCTGCTGCTGCATTGCCTGTGACACTCGGGACGTAAATGATGATAAATCTTTCGTGTGCTGGTGATCGTGCACATGAATCTGCTTTAACGGCCACCTTTCCTAGACAGCCACCTGTACAAAAAACCTCCCCCCCCCCCCTTTCCCCTTGCATTTAAAAAAAATTATATTGTAATGACACTGTCCAAGACGTTTACCTGTCCAGACAACCACTTCTCTCCTATACAATGAACAGTTTTAGACAGTTTCTACTGTATTTACATATCGCCACATTTTCTTTTGATCTTTATGGTTGAGAAAGTTCTTAATGTGATTAAACTGGTATTCTTGTCACTGTGAAATGTTTTAATTTTGTGCGAAAGAAGTCTTCCGTTCAGTGGTCATGCCATTGGTATAAAGCACACAGAGTTTATACTTGTGTGGGATAGATAAAGCATTTTATAAATGCAATCTATGACTATATTATAATTATTGTTATTATTATTATTAAAATTAATGTTATTATTATTATTGTTGTTGTTATTATTATTATTATTATTATTACGTACTATCAGGGTGTTGTTCAGTGTCCCTGTATTCCCTTAGATGACAGTATGGAGAAGCTGTACGCCTCAGGGGAGGGCCAGCTGTTCCTTCAGTCTGTAGAATGGCTCTCCTCTGACAAGGACCACCTCAAGACTTTGGGCAGTCTGGCAATTGGCAACTTTGCACGACGAGGTGAGGAGTCTGTCTGGCTTTAGATTACTCGTAATTGTAGATTTTTACCCCCCTCCATTCACACAATCAGGTAGTTAATGATAAAAATAATTGCATTGATATAGCACATTTCCACGCTCTGTAGCTTGCTCCTTGCGATGTACAACTATTATTACCCCAGCAGACCCTAGAACACAACTCAGAAACATTCTCTGCTTTGTGGGAAGCATACAGTGAAAGCTGTGGATTGCGTGCGCTCTAACAATAACACACTGACTAGATCTGTCTGTTGCCGGGTACCCATTCTCACCTGGTTGAAGTCAGGAAAACTTGCGTAAAGTGCCCTTTCTCAAGGACACAATGTCGGGCCCCTGACCGGATTCGAGCCCTCGACTTTACGGTTGCGAATCCAAGAGCCAGACCACTAGGCCACCGACGTCACGTTTAGGTGGTCTGCTTCAGCCTTGTCTGCCAGGACCAACACGAGCAGAGAGGGATGATATGTCCTAGGAGACAGATGGAGATTCTCAATGAGTATTCTCCCCACTCAGGAATAGGGCTTAAGTCTTGTGCATGCGACAGCGAAGCATATAACGACTGCATCACAAACACTGGTTTTAGATTACACCTGTGTTCCATAGACAAAGTTTTTTAAAAATAAAGACCCTCGTTGTTCATAGAAAAAAACATTAAAAACAGAATACAAGGAAATATGATATGCCCATTATGTTAAGCCAATGGGATATGTGGATACATTATTGTTAAAAATGGAGTAAATACTTATAAAGTGTACATGCTATAACTGACTAAATCTTTTTCTCGACCTGTTAGGGTTGGAGAGCTCCACTGCCTCTCCCTTTTTCTCTTCTTTCACTCATTTCTGTCATTCTGTCTTTCTTTTTTTTTTCCAACTCTGAACAACCATAATCCAGCCAGTTAGCTTGTTTCTTGATCAATTGCTCATGCATTTTTTCAAATTTATTTGTGGAGTTGTTTTTTTCCAGATGCATATTGCCAGCAGTTGGTCGAGAATGGCATCCTTGAGAAACTCATCTCCATACTCAAGTCCAACATCGGACCAGAGGCAAGCTTCACCCTACAGCATGCAGTGCTCAGCACATTGAGAAATCTGGCAATTCCTGGTGAGGAATGACATATGGGTCCGATCGTTAACATGTTGAATGAGCTTGTCTTTCAAATGGGCAATTTGTGTTAGGTATAGAATGAGACTTGAACAGCAAAAGAATAAAAATATTGTACACTTGTTTTATTAAAATTGTGCACAAAAAAAAAAAGAATATGGCACGCTTGTCACGGCGTCCAGAATTCTGTCTCAGCGATCTTTTAGTTAGTCCGGCCCCCCGGTAGGCATAAATCACCTGCAGGTGACCTGCAATTTCATGCGTCAGGTCGGGGATTGACCGGGGTCAACTCGTGCAAAGCGCTGTCCTATCTTGTCCTTATCAGAATGCGTTTCTTCCCCTAATTTCATGAGCCATAAAATGATGCTCACTCTACCCCTAGAATCTATTTCTTCACCAATTTCACTTCGTCTACGTCTTCTTGGTATCTTGTAAAAGTTTCAACAGTTTTCATTGATTTGTTTGGGAATAATAACAGTTTTAAATTATGAGTGTTAAGTGATCGGAAGTGACGTTAATAATGTGATCTCTTCAAATTACAAATCATTCCAAAATGAAACATGGGAGTTTATTTCTGTTTGCAAGGTGTGATAGCCATCAAATCATATTTAATAATGATGTGAATGTTGTTTTTCCAGCACTTTGCAGTGACTGGCAATCAGTTAGCGAATTGTGTTCCTAAGTAAAAATTGTTAAACTGCAAAGGGTCGGTCATACATATGAGACTTACAGAGTCTCTGAATGAACTTTGTCGGGTGTGCTGGCGTTTAAATTTAACTGTCAAACAAAAAAAGTACACAAAACCCCGATTTTGTAAGACAATGTCAGGAGATATTCTCTTGATTTACGGGTTTGATGTGAGGGACGAAGATGAACAGTTGTATTCCTCTAACATTTGTGTCCAGCGTTTTACCGCGATTTCAAATATCAAAAGGAGATATGGTGTTACGTCACGTCGATTCATGCCGCAAAAAAGCTGTTGACGCTAGTAGGAACATGTGGTGTGCGTTTGACAATAACGTAATGTGAATTCCTGCTCCGTTTGTCGGCATCGCTTGGGTGGCTGCATACAAAGATCCATTTCAAGCAAACATCGCAACACACCCCAAGCATACCTCCATCCCCATGTATACAAGGAACTAACAAACGCAATTTGTACAGAAACAAGAAAATACTCCCGCGAAACTGCAAAAATCGAGGAAGCAAGTGGACTGGAAGCAATGTTATATCTTCTCAATGAAAGATTTAGCCATGTTCACACTGCAATATCACATCTCAAACCAGTCAAACAATTTTCACTTCCAGAAATCCTCGTAGCAGTTGACAATTACATGGCCGCATTCAGACGCTATTTCCTCGCAAAGTTATTCCAAAGCAACACATATAAAATCAACACTGTATTCCACACATACAACAACACATGCTTGCTCTCGGACTTTTGGGAGAACAGGACACAGAAAGCGGTCTCAACACTGGAAGCCAGAGCACGAAGGATCCCAAACCAGATAGACATAATGCGTTTTAATGAAAGTTTTATTTTTGTGTAGCATCTCCTGCAAATAGCACCCTCATTGCATGCTGCTGGATATGTTTAGAAAGAAGAATTGTATTTATACTTTTATTCTGTACATGTTCATTTTGTGAAAAGAAATCGGTGCTGTATTGAAGCTACGTCAGTATATCATTATTTAGGAGGATACACATTCCATTGGATACAAAAGTCATGAATGCAGGGAAGCGTTTTGGCTATCATGCTAATGACAAATTCCATGTTCGTGCTGGAAACAAAATTTTGAGTTAGTCAATTTCTAAACACATTTTCCTGTTATACGTAGCAGTTTTGTAAATATTTAACGTTAGGCGTATAAGTTATTAGCCACTCAATATGTGTTTGTTGTTTTGACTAATTATAAATAGACATACCTTTTAAGAGCATCTAACTCCAAAACGTGAGCAGCCATGGTATTGCTATTTCGTACCAATAAAGAAGTTAAGTTGCTTTCTCTAAAGAACAAACTTGTGTTCACGTATGATATTTTTTGTTTGTGTAAGACGATAAAACATGTGTTGAAAAATTCATTTCACCGGCTACCGACGCAGGTAGCGGGAGGTCGGGTGAGTGACCTCTGGGTGACCGGCCCGCCATGACCTGGTCACTCCATCGCCGAGCCAACTAAAAGAACGGTGTTTGTACGCCTTGTTGTCTAAGCTAAACTCGGACAAAAATTAATAAGAACATTGTACGCTTATTTCAGGTCAATCTGTAGTAAAAGCAAATAAAAACTTTGTACACATGTCTAACTTAACTTGAACAAAAAAGAATAAGAACATTGAACAATTGTCTCAAGTTAAACTTGTGCAAAAAACAAGTGAACTGTGTACTTGTGTGGTAATTGAATTATAGTCTAATTCTTTGTCCTTTTCTGTTTGAATGTCCAGGTGGATGATTGACGGGCGCCGTGGTATGGTTTGCTCCTTCTTTCCTAGCAAACATTCGTTTTCTTTATCTCTCCTCTTTCTTTTCCTTGTATGTTACCATCTCGTAGTAATGCCTCTAATCTTGGACACTTATAAATACCTATTTGTCTTGTAATTGCCATAAAACTATTACTAGCAGGTGGTTGGAGGTCACCACTGGTAGGTTTTACTTCTTTACTGTATCTCTGTTGCTTGTTTTTGTCATTCTTACTTTCTCCCAGCACTAAATGACCTCTCTTGTGTCGATATGGTTCTTTTTACGCCTACAAACAAACTTTTACTAAAATTAAAACTAAACTCCCATCTCCAGTGTCTAACAAGCCCAAACTACAGGCAGCGGGAGTGATGGACGCCTGCCTTACCCTGATCCACTCAGAGGTCATGGCTGTCGTCTTCAAACTCTTGGGGGTTTTGAGGATGCTTATCGAAGGTCAAGGTATGTGGAGGAACAGGCGGAGTTTTTGTCCATTTTTATAGTTGTCTGTCTGCTGTGAGAATTGTTCATGTGAGACATGCCTCATTTCTGATAGATTTTATACAAATAAAGAGAAACGCATCTAATCAATAACATTCATTCAGTGTCGGGAAATTGTAAGAAAGACAGACAGAAACAACAGGGGGGAGGGGGGGTGCCCTTCGATTGCTGGCTCACATCTGTTAACCCGTATGGACTACGTTGTTTACATATTTTTTAAACTTTGTTTTAGATTTCAGGGGCATCTGTGATGCAGGCTCTGTGAAAGGAGGTTCTAAGGGGGAACAGGTTGTTACTCTGACTGTTCTTAGGTGGAGACCTTTGCATTTGTCTGTGTGTGTCTGTCTCTGTGTTTATGGTCTCTGTGTCTGTCTTCTCTTTGTATAAAAGCCCTCTTGCCTTGACCTCAATACTTCCTGAATTGTTTTGTTTTCTTAATACCCTGTCCCATCTTTGGGTGCTACGTAAATGATTGAATTTGTTTCAGATTCAGGTTAATCATACTGGCATATGTGGTGGAGTCGTTAGGCTATTGCCACGCATGCGGAAGACCTGAGGTCAATTCTCAGGTGGGAGAATTTTGATCGAAGAGCTCGGTCTTTCTGCTGGGATGTTGTATCCCTCTCAGCTCCGGTTGGCCCCGACAGGCAGGGTCAAATCCACCCCTTAAATCAGCTAAATTGTGTTGAGCCAAAAAATAAAAATTTGATAACAAACAAGGAGAAAATGTCGATTTCTTCTATTTCATAATTTTTATGTGCGCCTGATTTCACCGCGATGCCTCACAATTGTTTTATTTTTTACCACTAAAATAATTTCATCCAATAAAAACTATAACTACTGGTTACTTTCTCCTTTCTTTCAGATAAGTTATTTTAACTGCTGCTTGAAGTTTAAACTTTAAAACTGAACAATTTTATGTGCCTCAGAGTAAGTTCAAAAGCGAATTTTATTTTCCTGTATTTTTGCTAGCCGCCTGGTTTTAGTTTAAACAGAGTTCATTTATGAAATGGAACCTTTGATTTAATTCACATGTATACTTTGTACGTGCCGTTGTTTCAAAACTTTCTTGCAGGTTTCTGTCAGAGCAACATTTTTCATCCCCCCATTGTTTCAAAACTTCCTTGCAGGTTTCTGTCAGAGCAACATTTTTCATCCCCCCATTGTTTCAAAACTTTCTTGCAGGTTTCTGTCAGAGCAACATTTTTCATCCCCCCATTGTTTCAAAACTTCCTTGCAGGTTTCTGTCAGAGCAACAGTTTTCATCCCCCCATTGTTTCAAAACTTCCATGCAGGTTTCTGTCAGAGCAACAGTTTTCATCCCCCCATTGTTTCAAAACTTCCATGCAGGTTTCTGTCAGAGCAACATTTTTCATCCCCCCATTGTTTCAAAACTTCCATGCAGGTTTCTGTCAGAGCAACATTTTTCATCCCCCCATTGTTTCAAAACTTCCATGCAGGTTTCTGTCAGAGCAACAGTTTTCATCCCCCCATTGTTTCAAAACTTCCATGCAGGTTTCTGTCAGAGCAACATTTTTCATCCCCCGGGGCGGTGCTACTGACTGAAGTGTTTGTAGGCCATTCCCAAAGGGGGGACATTAATAGGTTCTTATGCACTGTAGAATTGTAAACTCTAAATGGGCTGTTTCATCAATGTCATGCTCATAACTGTGCCTGAACTGCAACAGGGAACTGCTGGTTTGTCTTTCCTAAGCTTTGCTATCATCATTTTCCTCTACTTCCTTTGTATGTTTGTCACACTCTTGTGACCGGCTATTTCCTTTTTTTCTTTCATTACGTATGTCAATTTTATTAAATCTAAATGTGAAATGTCCTTTCTGACAGTAAGTGGATGGCAGGTGCTCAGGTACGGTTTGCTTCTTCCTTCCTAATTGACAGCTATCATCTTTATTTTTCTTCCTTCTTTTCTTTGCAAATTACTCTCCAGTAGCACCTTTTTTTGTTGGCATTTATATAACCTGTTTGCTTTGCAAGTGCCGTAAAACTCTTACTAAACTAAAACCTTTCTGACAGAGGCTGCTGCAATGAAACTGGGTCAGGAGCGAACGTTCCTGGAATGCCTGGCGGAATGGTGTAGTGTGGAGGCTCATGCTGGGGTCAAAGGTTAGTGAAAACAGTGGAAACTGTCCAAGACGACCACCTAACAATTGTCAAGGAGAAAAGTTGTTGTCTTAGGCAGGACATTGTCAGTATAATAATTTTTTTTAAATGCAATAAGGAAGTAGGAAGTGGTCGTCTGTACAGGTAATTTTCTTGCAAAGGTAGCTGTTAGAGCAAGCGTACAGGAGGTGGTTGGCGGGTGCTCTGGTGTGGTTTTCTCCTTTTTGCCTATCAAATGTCTATCCTCCTTATCTCTCCTACCTCTTTTTGTGTTTTTTACTTGGAGGAACTATTATTAGGAGAGGCCGCGAGTCGCGTAACGTGAAGCCGCTGCAGACGACGGTCGGCCATGTTTGTGAGATCATCAGCTCAGTTCTCTCAGTTGTAAACTTAGTGTCGACCGAATGGCAGTTTGCGTAGCGTTCGGGTCCGGTGGGCCTCTCATTCAAAGGTCCTGGGTTCGAATCCGAGTAGTGACGGAAAAATTTTGTTCTCTAAAATTCTACTTTCTCTTTCGTCTGCTTTCATCTCCACTTTCTGCCCTACCTCCTCAGGGCTCCGGACTCTTTCTGCAGCCTTTCTACTGCTACTCCTTGGCTCCTTCTTACCTCTGTCTTTCAGCCACACCCCTGATCTTCTGGTAGGAAAGATCTACCCCTAGCCTTCTCGGACAAGGGCGAAAAAATCTCGGAGGTCGCGTATGCAAGTTGCGCAAATTAAAGGTCCCTTGGTGGTCTAAAATCGATAAGAGTAGGCTTCGGTCGCCACTCAGGCAAAATTCAAAATTTCCTACCAACTTAAAATGTTTAATGTGTCCCTCGCACTCATATGACTTATGCAGTTGCGAGTGCCGCAAAACACTTATAAGACCTACGAAAAATGTTTTTAAAAATATCAGTCTCCAGCAATGGCACTGAACTTGATGACGAAGTGCCTTCTGATTTAGCCGAAAATGCATCTCACAGTAAAAACAGAATGAAAAAAGATTGCAGAAAATTCAGTTTGCCACGTATGTGCCTAGATCTAGTCTAGCATACTTGTCAATTTGCTCTGCATGTTGCTTACATTGCTGGTTTTGTGTTGTTAAGGTTGACAAAGCATTTGAAAATGTGAAACCTGCATCGGTGCCTTTGTTGACTCCAATGTGTCAAAAGTAAATTCCTTGCTGTTTTTTGAAGTCTCGTCGGAGGTTCGACAGTGCCTTCAAAGAATGTCATTGAAGTGTGTTTGGTGTGTGAATAACATTTTTGATGCCATGTGTCGTCTGTCTGGGCAGGGGGTGTGACATTGTCAAGAGAGAAATGTCATAAATTAGTGCAATCTGTTTTGAAAATCTTCTTATTATAATTAGCCTATCATTTCAAATTCTCTGTTAATTTTCAATACCCTTAACAGTATTTTGTAAAATTTAGATAAAGTGTCTGGGTGTTTTAAAGGTGCCCCTCCCTCCTCGCTTTATTTGGGGGGGGGGGGGGCTGTTTTATTCTTGTTTTTTTGTTGTTGTTGTTGTTTTTTTTGTGTGTGGGGGGGGGGGGCAATTTCCACCATCATACTTCACTCTTATCTGCCTTACCCTCATTCTTTGCCCATCCCATCCCACCCTCACTACCATCTTTTGTGTAATCATTTTCAATTTTGTTAGAAATATATTCTGTTGTAAGTTTAAATCAAGAAGACTACGTTTTTGTAAAAATAATGTCAGTGATGACATCATTTTGCACTGATGAAGTTCTATGACCGAAAAGTCTGCAAATTTTGTTATCCCGTTTATATTTTTGTTTTGATCCTTATTATCCCAATTTCTTCTCTTAAACAAGTAAAAAAAAAAAATTATCTTACCGTCACAATGTGTATACATAGTACATGTATTACCAAATGTTCGACTGAGTGAGCTGGTAATTTGATGCAAGTAAGATTTCTTACTGTCCTTATTATATTGTTACTATCAAAAAGTCTTCGTTTTTTTGTAAAAATAATGAAGTTCGACTACCAAAAACTCAGAAAATGTTATCATCCCGTTTATAATTTTGTTTTGATCCTTATTATCCCAATTTCGTCTCTAAAACATGTAAAACAGAATATCTTACCATCACAATGTGTATACATAGTACACGTATTACTGTAAATATTCGACTAAATGAGCTGGTAATTTGATGCAAGTAAGATTTGTTAACATCCTTATTACATTACAACTGTACGTGAGTGCTTATAATGCTGTAATTAACATTGACAAAGAAATTTTGAGAGACAATGGAGTCCGAGCAGCTTGTTTTGAAAGGAGATTACGCTGCGTATGCTGCTTTGTTTTGAACTTACAAAGATGGCGGCAGGCCCGATAAGCTCCGCCCTTTCGGCTTCAACTTGGTTGGAACTGTTGAGCGGGCGACGCAACGTTAGGGCCTCTCCCTATATAGTTACTCCAAGGTTTTTTACTCTCTTGCAACAGTTCTAATCTCCGGCACTTACATGACCTTATTGTGTGGCAAGTGCCATAAAACTCTTACCAAAACATAAAACAAGCAGGTTAATTCAACTGTACTTGCAGGCATGAAATGTGAGCAAAACTTTAGTCCAAGTAATCAGCAATGAGCCATGATTTGTTGTGTCAATGTGTTGTGGTTTGTTGAAGAAAGCCCAGGTCTCATCGCTACTTAAAAAAAAATATTATAGTCACAGCTTAAACAGATGGTTGGAGGCGGCGCTGGTAGGTCCTATTTTCTTTTCTTTCCCACAGCATATCTTTTTGTTAGTCTGTCTTGTGTTACTACTTTTTCTAAATGGCTGTAATCACGTCAACAAACTAATTCTATTCTTTCTTTAGTTGTTTTTGCCCGTCTGTCTGTCTTGTGTTATTTACATTTTCTAAATGGTTGTTACCATTTCGATGTACTAATCTTCCTTGCCATTCAAAATGTAGAGGTGGGCAAAATCCAGATAATCTATAGGATAATAAGATAACCGGATAATTCTCAATGAAACATTATCCGAATTCAGACTCTTAACTCTCTTTTTTCCTGACCCGTTTTCCGAAGTGGGTGCACCCATTTGTTGAAATGATGCTACCCGCTTGTCGGCGTGGTTCTAACCTATTTGCCGAAGCGGTTCATATCATATTATTTGCTGAAGAGGTGCACTAAGATAGTATCCGGATTTTGCTAAAGCGACTCACTGCCCAGCCCTATCAAAATGCATCCTAATCTGTCCTTGTCAAATAGTAAATTGTGGCCATTTTCAGCTGATTTCCACTAGACTAAGTAAATTCAAGAATGACTCTTATCTTTGTTTGTCTCAACAACACAACTTTATATGAAGAGTGGAACTCGGATTCAAAGAGCTCGGATTCAACGAGGACTCGGATTCAACGAGATGAGATAGATTCCCCGGGTTTTTTTTTCTTCTTTAAAATCAAGTGGTCCAGGCGTTGAACGTCGCAGATCAGATACAAATGCGCCTGTCTTTTTTTCCTGCTCAGCAACTGATCATTATTACAACGATAAGCTATTCTTGACGTATCTACGTAATGAATTGTGCACTGGTCTATGGAATCAAAAGTTGCCATATGCTAGGCTCTACACAGCAACAAAACTTTTTGGTAAACACTCGAGATGACACAGGTGTGTGCATTTGAACGAATCGGTCTTTTTTTTACACAGCTCATAATATGCAGGCATTTCAGGCACTACTTGTGACTTCTCTTTATACATTACTTGCTCAGTGCCTGTAATTATCTACACAAAACCTTGTGTTTGCTATAACGATCACTCAGGTTCAACGAGATTTTAGGTCAGGTCCGGCGACCTCGTTGAATCCGAGTTCCACTGTATGCAGTTAATCACCAATGTGAGCTGTGATGAGCCACTGTCTTAATTCAAGATCATCAGTGTCAACTGATGAGTTTTCTGTAATCAATACTTGTCATCTGATATCTCAAGATGGTATGTCTGTGTATTTGTGAATTTATGTACACCATTGTAAAACAAGTTTTGTGGATGGTTGGCGGGTGCTCTGGTGTGGTTTGCTTCTTCTTTCTTATCAAACATCTATCGTCCTTATCTCTCCTCATTCTTTTTTGTGTTTGTTACTCTCTTGTAACACCTCTAATCTTCGGTACTTACATGACCTTATTGTGTTGCAAGTGCTGTAAAACACTTACTAAAACTAAAAAACAAGTTTCCCAAGGGGATCACTGAAGTGAGATTTATTTTATATTATTTTTTGATAATTGAAAAATATTTTCTAAAGCTATGTTCATTGTCGATTCCAATTTTTCAAGGTGTTATTAATGAAATCTCTGAATCCAGGCCACAGCTCACACTACCTTTACCTTGCTGTGTTCTACTTTTCAGGGGAGGCGACCAGAGTGATGGCTTCATTGGTTAAAAACAGTCGGTCCACCGCAGTCATTCAGAATCTCATCCGAGCCGAAGGATTAGTTCATCTGGTCGCTATGGCAACCTCAGAGCACTTGGTTATGCAAAACGAGGCTGTGATGGCTCTGACAATTATTTGCTCAGTAGCATTAGGTAGGCAGTTTCAACAGGAGCCAAACTATTTAACCCTGTACTGTACATAGAACAGGTCTAGGTGATCATACAAATGACAAAACAAAAACAGTAATGGTAATAACAATGATAATAATAATATACAAATAATAATGATATTAATGGCAATAATGATGATAATGGTAATATGCAAATAATACTGATAATAATGGTAATAATAATAATAATAATACTGATAGTAATGTTAAAATAAATATAATATTGATAATATTAATTGTATTTATATAATGCATATTTATGCTCTGCTGCGTACTTAACGCCCTCTACATGTATTATTACCCCAGCTCACCCTTGAACACTCAGAATCCAAACCCAACAAGACACCCCCCCCCCCACTCCCTCACACACACCCTCACATACATTCCCCCCCCCCCCCCCCCTCCGCCAACAAAAAACAATCTAATCAACCTCAGCAGAACAGCTGAACGATGCAACGCCTCTCTTCTGCTTTCAGGGGAGGCAGCTGTGTCCTTGAAAGAGGCTGGCCTCAGTTCTACTGTGCTGACTTTGCTAAAGGAGCAGACTCTGCCTTCAGAGATGGTGATCAATGTCTTGAGTTTACTCAAGGCCGTCACAGCTTCAGGTATTTATATATATATACACCGAATGCGATAATCGAGACGGAGAGAGAGAGAGAGAGGTTTGAAGTATATCTCTCATCTACTTCTGATAATATTATTATCTCTGTGTAGTTTCTATGTTATTCTTCATTTTTATTGAGCGTTGTGCTGCCAGTCAACATGAGGCTAATGATGACGATGAAGATAATGTTAGAATGGTTAGAGAGGTCAGTTTTTATTTCTTTGTAAAATTTTGAATGATATGTGCTTTATTGAAGGCAAAAGGAACGCTTAACGAAACATATTGTCAGTGTCTGACTCTAATTGTGTATCCATTAAATTAGGTCAAACACTTTGTTTATTTTTATTTTTTTAAATTGTTTTTTGACTGGGAGGGGAATATAATTTTTTTCTTGGTATCTTCCAAAATTGTTTGAAATTTTGTTCAGAATGTTCTATTTCCTGATTATTGTATCACCAATTGTGGTTACGGTTGTGAATAGTATAATTTGAGACAAAAAAAGGGTTTGACCTTATTTACCAGATTTCTCAGTTAGACTTGGACACTGACCAATATATATACATACGGCATTGCTGTCGCAAGAAAAGTACTGTACTCTTTTTTACCCAATTTTGCAGAGTGAGCAAACAAACTTCTAAAAATACTAAATTGGGGGGGGGGGGGGGAGTTTGTTTTTTTGTTTTGCGGGGTTTTTTGTTTTTTTGTGTGTGACAACAGTGAACATTCACTTACCAACACACTCGGAAGCACACTCACACACATATAATATTTATGATTGTGCATGTATGTGTGCGGACGCGTCATAATTTCTTAGTTTTTACCCGTCGCTGCTGTTTTGCAGCTCATTCTGAGCTATTTATGCCTCATAATGGCTGGTTAGGCCAAAATCGTTTTGGTTTTGTTTAGTTTATTATTTGAATGGAAACTCATCCCTCAAGATCCTCTATCTAACCCTTTCTCCCTCTATCCTTTCCTGCTAGTAGACTCGGCAGTTTGTAGATTCCCTCATTCAGAGCCTATTAAGTTATTCATTACACATCATCAGTACCTACCTGACTCTACTATCCTGCGAGCCATATTGTGCCCTATCTCCAAGCATGTCTGTGTCCGTATTTATAGGGATATCGGTGTTAGATCAATCAGCTGTTTGGGTGTCACTCCACTTTTCTAAAAGTCTGGATTTCCGGAAGTTAACAAGTTTTCTAGTTTTATAAACTGTGTTTATTTTTCCGAGTTTATGCCCCCCGCCCCCCAACCCCTCCACCCACCAAAAAAAAACTGCCCTTGAAAAAAAAAATCGAATGTAATCGCTTGGTTTTGATTATTGATTTGTAAGGGCACCAGCTGTTTATGTATACATTCTGGTTTACCGAATGGATAGATATTTAATTATGGCATTTTCTTAAAGTGAAAAATTCAAGAAGTGATATGGGAATTGTATTGTGTGTAGCTGGCATCCATCTTAACGGTAAAAGATGCTGCCATCAATGAAGAAGAGAGACATACTATTTTATTACACATTTTGTTTAGTTGTTGACTGAAACCTGATTCCTTTTTCCCCTGAACACGACTGTAAATCTACAACATTGATTTCTCTGACTTCCTTTGTCCGTGTCACTGGAATGAGTGAGCTACTATACCAAGCCATATTCCTAATAGGATTTCTCTCTGATTATAATCTGATTATATGGACATATGGTCAACCTTTATTTTTATTTTTTTCGGAGACTAGAAATGTTGAAAAAAGGAAGACGGATAGTAGAATGGCCAAATTGCTGGAGTGAGTGACAGAGAAATAGAAGTGAAATTTAAAAAATAGATGGTAAAAAGGCTATCTAAGGAATGTGAATTGATTTGAAGGAATAAAACGAACGAGACAGCTTTCGACTAGTTTTGTGGACTTGAGGATATAAGATTCAAGTACATGTCTATGGGAGAGGGTGTGTTAGGACATTTAAGACATGAGAGAGTTAAAAAAGAACAAAGATGTCTTTTTTTCTTTGGACCTGGGTTGATACCTGTAGTAAAATTGTAGCTTGTCAAAAGTGTGCTTCATATTTGGAATGTGTTGACCAGATGTTCAGATTTAAATGGTTCCTTATTCACGATTTTATTTTTGTACATGGACTCTAGAGACCTTTTGGTTCTGAGCTCTTTAATGCAATGACAGGCAACAATGTGAAGTAAGGTTTCTGTTGCATAGCTTGTTGTTAATTATTGCAAGTGTTTTACTCCGCCATTGACACAGTTTAGATCGTTGAGGAATTGAGCTACTTTGACCCTGCCCCTCACTGTCCTCCCCATGTGGTAAATGAATTCATGTCCTCTGCGTGCAAGGGGAGGAGTCTGCCAATACACACTCTGTGGACGCTAGTTCTGGAATTAGGTGCAAGATATCAGCCAGGGTTAATAGTTGAGGTCAAAACTATTGTTTTTCATATCTTGTTTTGTTTTGGGGGGTTTTCTGGAGTCTACCGTGTGCTCAGAAACAGTTATACACTTTTTCCCTCTTTGCTGAAGTAATTGCTTTTGTTTACAGTGAATCTTTTTTAAAAATATTTCCCTCTTGATACATGTCTTTTGATGAAGTAGAAAAGAGATTGCCCACGAAGACAGTTCACTACAAGATGACACTTTGTCTTGTGGAAAAAAATGAGGTTATAGGTGTTGATATAAACATATTGTTTTGTTTCTAATATTATACTCAATATTCTTTTTTTCATTAACTAATCTTTGCCCCTGCTCTTTATATACAAGATATGTCACTCCCTAAAAATATTATCAAACATGTTACAGTATAGTCTTCCCCATCCTCATATTCGACAGTTTGAGGGGTTCTTTTGATCTCAAATAGAGGAAGGAAACACTTTGTAATGAACAGTCTTTTTTCCCTCTTTTTTTTTTACCGTAGAGGCATTTTTCAAACTTCTTTATAACATTCTCATACTTGTTCTTTATACTTTTGATCTGAGTTTTGAAATGGTTTGGTTAGAAATTATTATGGGCTTATTTATATTTACATGTATATTAAATTTAAGTCATGTACCCTTTAGACTCAATGAGTGGTTGGTGGGTGCTCTGGTCTGGCTTGCTACTACTTTCCTATCAAACATCGTCCTTATCTGTCTTCCTTCTTTTCCTTAAACGTTACAATCAAGTACACTTCAAATCTTTAGCACTTATTAATATGACCTATTTGTGTTGCAAATGCAATAAAACTCTCACTAAAACTGAACTTAAGGCTCACATGACTTCACGACCGTGTCTTTGCAAACATTATTTATTATGAGATGAGCTTGCTTTTAGAGCTGTGGTGTGAAAGCGCTACTTGATGAAGTCTGATGTTGGGGTGTTGCACGACACGCGGCTGCCTGTTCCAACCCTACCCAATAACCATACCTCATTTCTTATCCCCCTCCCCCTCTCCCCCACCTCGGATTTTCAGCCTCCCCTCCCACACCTACGCCTTGTGCTCTACTCGCCTGCACCGGCCTCATGCCAGACGTTCGCAGTAGGCGCCCCTTTTCCTTTCTCCTTCGTTGTCTCACGGTGTTGTGGATTTCCTCGTTATGTTCTGTCATAGAAACCTATGTGTTGTTGGAGCCAAACCTCTTACATCATAAAATGAGCGGGTCTGAATGGGAAAGAATTGACCAATCTATTATGTGATTGCATTTAAGTTAACCGTTGCCTCACAGAATGAGCGAAACTAGTATTAAATGGAATACGCCAAACTATTTTGTAATTGGTTAAACCAAACTACAATGTAATAGATTTTGCCACATTTTTGTATTATGATGAAATGAGCCAAAGTATTATGCAATAAAATGAATCAAACTGTTGTATACTAGAATGAGCCAGACTGTAATGTGATAGATGAAGCCTCACCTTGTGTTATCAAATGAGCCAAGTTATTCTGTAATTGAAGGAGCCAAACTGTTATGTAATAGAAGTATGCTAACTATTATGTGAAAGAATGAGCCACACTATTATCTACTAGAATGAGGCATACTTTTATGCAATAGAATCAGCAAACTTTTTTTGTAATAGAATGAGCCAAGCTTCTATCTGTTAAAGCTAGCGAAATCTTATGTGAAAGAATTTATGTCTCTATTTTTGAATAAATTTCGCCAAACATTTATCTACCACTTTAAATGAGCTATACTATGTTTTACCGCAATTAGATAAACCCTATATATTTTGTACATGTAATAGAATTAACCGATTTCAGTCCTTCAGATATTGCTTCTTGCTGATTGTTTATCCGTGCCTGATTCAGCAGAACACTTGTCTAATAGTTCAAGTCTTCTCGTTAAGATTTCCTTTTTCCCGTGCCAAAGTTTGAGCAATACTTTGCTTTCGTGTCTACTTTGCTGTGTATTGCAGTGTTGTCACAATTGTTAATTCATATTATTTGTTTCAGAAGCAGACGTTTTTTTATTCCGAAGAATTATGTTAAGAAATTTTTACACATTTACATCTAGCTGACTGTGCCTTCTAATGTAAAACCTGTTTCTGGTAAAACGCTGCATAGCTCCCTAATTTTTGGGTAAAAGTGAATTTAGGGGTTGGGGAAGATGTATTCACAATGAGAATAGCATGTATGTGCTGACTGCCGTGTACCGCCTCGTTTGATTGGATAAAGTAATAAACTATTTATTTATTATCCCTGTTTTGACCCCCTTACATGTACAGATATTCTGCCGTATGCTGACAAAATGCCTTTTCCTTATTCAAAACAGTTTAAAGAAATCAACGATTTTCGATTTTCTCATATTATCTAAAGTATTTTACTCATTATGTCAACAGTTGATCTCGCACCCTGAAGAGAATGTCATTCCCTATGCTCAACAGATATTACGATAAGATACATCTTTATTGTCCAGATCCTGGCACATTGGTTTGGTGTTTCACCACCTACACCCACACACACGCGCACACACACACACACACACACACACACACACACACACACACACACACAAACACACGCACACACATTACACATTGGTTTGGTGTTTCACCACCTACACCCACACATGCACGCACGCACGCACACACACACACACACACACACACACACACACACACACACACACAAACACACGCACACACATTACACATTGGTTTGGTGTTTCACCACCTACACCCACACATGCACGCACGCACGCACACACACACACACACACACACACACACACACACACACACACACACACACACACACACACACATGTACTGTTCACGCAGTACATATACTAAAATTGGAAAGATACAGAGAAGACTAGCATGGCCCCTGCATAAGGATGACACGCAAATTCGTGAAGCGTTCCATATTTTTTTACGTTCAGCCAGATGTGCACTGGCACAATCAGTGGAAGGACCCTCGGCAACATTTTGGAGAGAGCAACGGAGCATCAATGGACGTGCAGGGATGTTGCTTCCTGAAACAATGAACAATGAACACACACACGTGCGCACACACACCCATATGCATACACACATTCTTCTTTCACACATCCTCTCTTCCAAACATACTTGTACATTTAACCATATTAATACAATAGTATGCTTGCGCTTGCAAACAAGCTCACAGTCACATGCATAATATAAATGAACAGTAATTATAAACATTAATAGTAGATACATAGTCAGTATTCTAATTGTAACTCAATGGTATTATGATATTATAGGAGATGATATAGGAAAGCCGAAAATCGTTGATTTCTTAGAACTTCTGTGAATACGAAAAAGGTGTTTTTGTCAACATACAGCTCTATTGAGATACAATGGTTTCTCTTTGCCTGGCTGCTGCATTAGACCCCCCCCCCCCCACACTTTTTCTTCAGACTTTTATCATAAATTGTTCTGCCTTGATGTCATTCATATTTTTGCTTGTATATTTTGTTGTTATTGATATATTGTTTAAGTGTTAAAGTGTTAGTATATTCCTGTGCAATCCAGGTAAAACCGCATCTGTCTATCTGTTTCATGTTACATGTATAAAAACAATGTTGTTGGGTTTTTTTTTAATTTCAAACTATGTGGGGGGGGGGGGTTTATTCTTTTGTTTTTGGTTCTTTTGGGGGGATTTTTTTTTTTTTAGGGGGGGAGGGGTTGTGGGCTGTTTGTATTTTCATGTCAGGACTCCTCCATAGGCTCTCATTTTGACCATTAGCTGTTGTTTTGCTTTTTAGTGTCTTTGCTGTAACCTGTCCAAAGTTGTTGCAAGGTGTGTTTTTGTGGCAAAAATGTTATCTCTGCATTCCCTTCGAATTATGTTTACATCTACTTTTTTTTTCCTCTTAATTGATGGTCCTGCCGGCCGTCACTGATAGGTCATAATATACTTGTTTTCTGTCCCCCTGTTGTGTCTGTCTGCCTGTCTTGCTATTTCCCAACATTAAGTAACCATTGTTGCGTCAGTGTGCTTCTCTTTACTCAAACATGGCGTTGCGTGATTTTTACACCCGTTTCAAAGTAGTCACATTGTTTAAAAGTTAATTTGCAAATCCGAAGGAGTCATAATGGTCAGTGATGTAGCTTGACACAGATGAGCAGATGGTAGTCAACTATGGTTTAAGTCCTATTTGAATTGCTTGGTTGTTCCCAAAGGTGAACATGTTCATGCTGGGTAGGTCATGGTTGAAGGATGCCACTGATAGGTCCTTCTTCTAGACTCTCCTCTCTTTTGTCTCTGCCAACACTAAATCGCCATTACTGTGTCAATGTGCTCCTTTTTTCAAACATTATTTAAATGCTTATAAAGATTCAACATATAGAAATAGCCTTTTTTTGGTACAATCGTTAACCTGCATATCACTACCATGTAGCCTTTGATGTCCTTGAAATCAGTGCAGAAAGAGGGACTTTTCTTGGTAAAAGTGAAAGAAAATTTCTTCGAAACCCCCC